CTCCTGCAGTCTTTCTTGTCGTCGTGTCTCGTGCTCGAGAAGGGCGTCCAGAGCGAGTTTGCACTGGTCTGCCGAGACATGGTCGTCGATAAGGTCTGTTACCCCCATTTTGAAGTCGGCGTCGGCGTAGAGAAGGAGAAAAGACTGAGGGTGCCCGATGGCAAGCAGAGGTCGCAGAAGCCAATTGTAGGTGCCGCCTCCAGAGTAAATTTCTGCGGCGATCTTGCCACGTGCTACAGGCGCTTAATAACATGGTAGCATTGGGGACTCGAGGAGTCGAGAAGGGGGGAAAGATGAAAAAATTGCTACGTGTTCTAATATATTGTAGCATGCAAGGTCATGTAAGACACCAGCCAGGCTCGAGAGCACGTGTCGGCCCGCTCGGATTCACGGTCATGCTCCACGCGAACACCCGAGGTCTCCTTACCCACGACGATAACGCTCCCCGCGCTGCTCGTGTTGCGCATGCACACCGACCAGCCTCGAGCTGTCCGACATGTATCTCGCCTCTGCACCTCTCATTTCTCTCGCTTTCGCCCTCTCGGCGCTCGCCGCCCCCGACCTCGGTCGCCTGAAGCGTCCTCTCGAGCTCGTCGTCCTGCAGGACTGCGAGGGAACCTGCGACATACTGACCTTGCGGGACGCGCAGCATGTGCGCGGCCTGCCTCCCCGCGGCGTTCATACTGGCAGGCTGCCGACCCAGTCAGGCCAAGAGCGCATCAGCTTCGTTTCCTACGACGAACACACCCTCTGGCGTGCCGCACAATCCCAGTGCGGCACCTTGGACACGGCCGCGCTCATCCCAGACGACACCAGCCAAGCATCGCAGCAGAGCGTGCTGACGAGCCCACAGCTGAAGTACTCCACCAACCTCGTAGGCAAGGCCCCGCCCATGCAGGTTCACCGTCTCATCAAGTCTGGCGACTCGAGCAACCGCGTCGATCTCGTGTTTTTCTCAGACGGCTGTACGTGTCTCGCTGTCGTTTCGTCTGGTTCGTCCGACTGATTGAGCAGACACCGACGGCGAGCATGCCAAGTTTCTTGAAGACGCGAAACGTCTTGCCGAAGACGTGTCGTACAACCAGACTTTCAACACCGTGAAGCCGCTTTTGAACTTCTGGGCTGCGTTCACGCCTAGCAAGGAGGCGAGTAGTCTAGACATGCCGGACGATACATCTTGGCTGAGACTGGCACAGAGCGGCGTTGGTGTCGGTGGAAAGCCTAAAGAGTAGGCGCCCGCCAGAGTTTTACTGCTACATATCACCGATAAAGTCGTTCATAGCACGGTCTTCGGACTGTATCGCGACGGCACCGAACTTCGTGGCGTATTGTACTCCAAACCAGAGGTTGCCAGGGCTGCATGCTTGTCCCTGGGAGATGCATGCGACTACCCGATTCTCATGGGCAACGATCCGCTCTCCGGCGGTACGTTCCATCTAACGGATCTCGCACCAACATGCTAACTGTTCAGCCAGGGCTGGGAGGAGAATTCACGTAGGCGATCCAAACACGCACACTACGAGCTCAGAACCTGACGTTCCCGTGCAGTGTCATCACCCCGTCTCTCGCCAACGGCCCTCTGGTGCTCAGGTGCGCTACCCCCGCCACGCCGCCTTGCGCGCGCACGTCCCGCTCACGCGCCTCCCCCCAGACACGAGCTCGGCCACTCCATCATCGATGTCGGCGAAGAGTACGACGGCGGGTACGCCTACTTCGGCGTGAACGCCGCCGCGAACCTCTCCACCGTGCCCTGGGCGCACTGGCTCACCCCGTCCCCAACGACAGACGCGGCGCCAGCCGCAGCGCACAGCGAGCGCGCCGCGATGCCGCTGCAGGCGTACGCGTGGACGCTGCTCAACACGAGCGCGCCGTGGACGGCGCGCTTCGCCGCGGCGGGCACGTACGCCCGGCACCTCGTCCGCTTCTCGCTGTCGGGCGTGCCCGCCGCGGCCGACCTGCGCGTCGCGCTCGACGGCGCGGACCTCGCCTGGGAGCCGCGCCCCGGCATCGGCCGCGACCGCTGGCACTACGACGTCTACCGCGCCGGCGGGCTCGCGCAGGGCGCGCACGAGGTCGAGTTTGCGCTCGTGAACGCGGCGCGCGAGGGCGACGCGCAGATGTGTAGTGTGGAGGTGTTGGAGTTTGGGGATGAACATGAGTTGCGTGTTTTTTAATTTTATTTCGGCGTTGTTTTTAGCGTACTGGGCTGAACGTCCCCCAACTCATTCGTCCAGGTTCAACGCGACCCCGGGGCACTACAGCATGTACCCAACGTGAGCGTTTCCCATCCCCAACACTCCCCTATCACCTCGCACACATACTGACACACACGCGCACACACTACCGCGACACAG